AAACTAAACTAAACGTAGGTAGACAAGACACTTAGGAAAACTTTTGAAACTTTGTTCAAAGTATCAATACATAATTTTCATAAAGCGCTGGGAATCTAATAATAATAATGTAATGGTGTTGTATTTATTATATGTAAAATATAGAACAAAGATAAAACAAATAATTAAAAATTACTATTTGCTTAATTATTAAACCATATTTGCAGGAAAACGTCAAAATAAACAAAGTTATCATGTTTTTACATTAGTTTTACCCGGACTTTATTTGTTTTCCTTTTAACATATTAACACATTAATATGTAATGTGATCGGCTCAGCGACTTTGTTCCCAACTTCCAGGGTTCAGTTTCAAGCGAAATCATAATTTTCTACAGGAATATTACTAATTATTAAACATTTGCTTAGCAGACTGACATACGTCTATCCCATGTATACTAAAATGAGATTCAGCATTATTTACCTTCTTCCATAGACGTCATATCGCATTTCCCACCCTGGGGGTAATGGTTCTTCTGGGGTGGTACTGTTGGCTGTTGTAGGTTGAGCCTGGGGTGCCGGGTGCACCGGAAGAACTGAGTGCGCGGGTGGAGGGTCTGACTCGTGGGATGGTCCCGCCCCGTCCGAAGTGTTCACTGCCCCGTTACTATGCGGCGGAGGCCCCGGAGGTGGCTAATACAATAGGAGAAACATATATCATTTTGATAATCCATTTTTAATTAAATTATCTATATATAAAATTGTCGTGTCACATTGTTATTTACCATACTCCTCCGAAACGGCTTGACCGATTTTTATCAAATTTTATATGCATATTCAGTAAGTCTGAGAATCGGCTACTATCTATCTTTCAACCCCAATTTTTTTATTTTTATGGTACAGCATACAAAAATACATATAACCGCTACTATTTTCACCCCTCTACTATCAACCCCTATTTTTATTGAACTAAAGAAATGTTTCCTAGAAATAATATACATGGCAAAACAAACGTTTGCCGGGTCAGCTAGTTATAAAATATAATGAAACTATGATTACCTTCTTTAAATCAAAAATGTTTTTGCGCTTTAAAAAGCTTCCTTTATTATTGCAGATTGTAAAACTGTTACGTTGGTAATTTGCGAATTTGTTCTAAAGTCGTTGAGAATTTCCTTGAAATGTGCAGTATGCAATCACTGACTTAGGGAAGTATTATGTCTGCTAGGACAGTGTTAAAATACATGGGAAAAAATAAATTTAATCTAATGAAAATATCAATTACAAAAATTACACACTCAACTTACCCTTAAGTTAGGTGGCCGTGCCATAGACCTTATTGATTCTAACGTAGTACGTAATCTGTTTCTGGCTCGTACACCATCATTTAGTGGACATCTAGCACCTAGCTGTTCACCATACAGTTCATGAGTTTGGCTCAACACTGCCGGCTCCACTCTTAGCCCATCAAGAAGTAGCACCAATTCAGCGGATTTTACTTCTGTGCTTGAACTTGAATTATCTTGCGATACAGTTTTCATTAAATCTGAAAAATAAAACATTTATTTTTATGAGGAGTCAGTCATAACTTTTATGTAATATCATTTATGTTTTCACATTTCTGTGCCCTAAATAATTTTTTGGCTTAGGATGAACCTAGGATGTTGGCTTATATGCAAAGCAAGTAGCCACTGGCTAAAAGTAAGGTTATTTTGTTTTCAAGGAAAGCATTACTTATGTTTCTTAAACACAAAATTTACAGTAAAAGTGATAGACAAATGTAAACTTTTATCATAACAAATGATTCAATTCTGCTATCTTGCAGGCAAAGACAGGAACTTAAAATATCTGAATTAATCATAACTGCTCTTAATCTTATATCTGTGTCCTACATGCCATATAATAATTTTTGATTATTTTTTACCTCACTTCTAATTACCAAGACTTATTGATTATAAAATACATCATTAGCTAATGATAAAAGGCAAAATTTTGTTAAAAAATTTTAGAAACAAAAAATATACAATGTATTTAGAAAAGATACATTTTGTGTGACACAAACAAGGCTGCAATCAATACATAGAATCAATTAAATAAAATACCTATTGCCATCTCCACATTTTCAATTTTCCCATTGAAATACAAGAGGACTTTTAGGAAATTTACTCTTTTTTCTCCAAGGATATTGTCTTTTCTAAAACTATGGTGGTCTGCCAATCGAAATGTTATTTTCGATAGTGGTGTCACCAACACTGTGAACTCTTCTTTCCATTTTGGATGTAGAGTGTTCTTAATAACTTCAGTCTTCCTTGAAATGTTATCATCTATGATAACTTGTAGATAGGGATTTGGTTTAAATAGGCCAGTGCTTCTTATATTTGCAGATTCAACTGAAATAAAGATCACCAACATTTTTAATACTAAACCAATGTAAATTAGCCATGCCTGTGCTGATAATTGTACAGGGATAATAGATGCTGGAAATATACATCATAAAAATATTAGTATTGTCCCAGAAAGTTTCCTAAATCAGTAAGTGGGCCTAAAAAGTTGTCAATTTGTATAAAGTTTGCTACAATTTTGAAAATTGTAATTTATTGGATTATTACCCTCTAGAATATTAAATAATACTTTGAAATTAATAACTTTCATATATTCTTTTATATCATGCTGAAAGGTGTTTAATGATGTTACCTGTCAAACTCAATTGATGATATGTAGAGAGAGAAGTGGGGGCTGCAAGTGGCAGACTGGTTTCGGACATAATGGAATGTTTATTTCATACTGTTTCATAAATTCCACATTTTAAGAGCACTGAATACCTGCAATGTTCCAATCATGTGTTAAAAGATATCCAACTTATAGAATTAACTGCATATTAATAACAATATACTTGGAAATATATCAAGGTTATGTAAATAAATAATCATTAAAATATTCTTATATCTTATCAGCTCAAAGAATAAGCATGATAAATATTATATGTATAACATAGTCTTGTATAAAAATATATAGTATACAATTAAAATTCTCTTAATGACATTTCTCCTTAAATTTAAAAAAAAGACCTTAATTAGTAGTCAAGACAATTTTAAATTGCTTGAATGAATATGCCTTGGCTTTACTTATTTATAAACAATTATATTACATTACATATGATAAGATTTTTTTATTCTAAAAATGATGTATTGTGCAAAAGGCTGATAGCTGATAAAGTTATAATTGGCTAAATCGATACTATAATTGCAAGAAACAGCAGTTTATAATTGTAACTATACACGTATTTTATTTAGCTTCATATTTCACCTTATTCGTAACCACAATAGATAAATGTACACCAAATATTTATATTAATTCCTTACCGAGAATAATTGTGACGATTGCAGAAAATCTTTTAGATTAGGTCATTATCGTTCTCCCTTATCAAATTGTCTGAAAGGAAATGAACATCGAACAATATCGTGAACACCGTAAGCACTTAAAAATTAACAAAAACAGTCTTCTCTCTACATTTCATTCAAGTTGTAAAGTTCTTACTTGCCAATTATTAACATTTTTATAAAATTTATTATTTTAACAATAATAAACAAAAAATAATTCTAAATTAATAAATTAGTCACAAGTTGATAGTTGATACTTGATTTTTTACAGTTTATTATAGACTGCGAGAAACGTCAAACTTACAATATTCTACAGATTACTACTTGCTAAATTCCCAACTTTCAAATGTGTTACAAAACTTAAAAAAGTGTTAATAATTATGCATAAAATTTGTGTTTGGGTTAAGAATTATGCATAAAATTTAACTACTCTGTCTATCATTGCCTTTGTAGATAATTTTCAAGTTTTTCATCTTAGTTTTCAATATTTTTACTTATATTTTAATATACGAAGTGTATTATATAGTATTTGGTGTATGGTATCTCGTAGAGACTATCTATACAGGTGGTCAAAAAGTCGTGGATCAAACGCAAATAGAGAATAGATGAGGTCATCAGCTGCAAAAAATTGTTGTATGGGAGGTCTCTAAGCTCAAACAAAAAAAGGTATTACACGGCCATGTGTAACTAATATATCAACTTATGTATAACTTAATATTATCTTCAATACACTCAATAAAGAACAATAAATAGTATGTCTAACGCAAGAACTCATCAGTACCAATCTAGTGGATATTATCAAAAATATACAGAATGTAGATATTTTCAAATTTTAATAAGAATTAGTAAAAAAAGTCAATTTTCTTATAAAATCGCAAAGTAAATTATAACTCTGCAGGGTTTGAGCTTAGAAACCTCCCGTAGAACAATTTTTTGCAGCTGATGACCTCATCTATTCCCTATTTGCGTTTAATCCACGACTTTTTGGCCATCCTGTATATGTATTGTGAATAAAAAGTGTGCTGGGTTTGGTTTTGTTGAATGACGATGTTCTGTGGGGTTCAACGTTTTATATTAAGTCTGTAGTGACTGTAATTTCAATTATTTTTATTGATTATTTTTCATTGGAGTTCAATCTTTTCATACCTAATAATAACTATATTACATAGATATTAAAATCTCATTTACTAAGAATTGGGCTTTTAAATTATTAAAAGAGTTCAAATGTGAAAGGTATACCAAATAATATAAATAGCTATTATCAAAAAACATCTAAGCAATCTGTGTTTTTGCTTTCAAGACCCAACAGCTGGTTTAAAATTGTATAAATTCTATTTGATGCATGTCCAGTCTTCATTTTCTTTTCAATAATCTTTGTCTTCGGTGTTGGTTGCTAATTGCTATTGATTTTGCATTGATTTAGCGTTTATATTCCATAATGCTGTAACTGAAGGTTGTATAATATATGTCTTTTATATGCCAATTACCATACATCATAAAATTTGGTGTGAATAACATTCTTTGTTGTTGTTTCTCATGAATTCTATAGAATATTGTACTTGATGCTTTTAGAATTATGTGATTAATATAGCTTTGTGTCTTCTAATTTTAAACAAGATTATGTTGTTATAGCTGACAAAATTTACAATGAGCCCTGTGGAGAGTGTACCTGTTGCAGTATTGCATCATGTGGATGAATATGTTGAATTGTTATATGATGATATTCCTGAAAAAATTAAAGGATCGGCGTTAATCTTACAACTCGCAAGAAATCCTGAAAATCTAGTGGAATTAGCTAGGAATGGTAGTATTTACTTAAAATATTATCATATAGTAGTTAAAAGTTACTTTTGCTAATTCAGTTTCTAGAACTTAATTGGGGTTAAGTTACTCCGACCAATTAGTATCAACATACTTAGACTGTAGTTCAAGATAAATTTATTGCCTTTGGTTCTTCCTTTGCACTAGTATCTATACTATCTGATATATATATATATATATATATATATATATATATATATATATAAATCCCCCTGGGCTTGAATACTAGCCTTCACCCATTTTCTTATATGGGTTTGTTTAAAAACCATATCCACATCTATTATTATTAAAGTTCTTTTTGTTTTTAGAAGCATTGCTAAGTGCTCTATCGAGAGTATTAAGGGAAGAATGGAAAAGAAGTATTGAGTTGAGTACAAATATTGTCTACACCTTTTTTTGTTTCTCAACATATATTGAATTTCACTCAGTTATTATACAATATAAGATTGGCTCGTTATGTATGGATGTAGTTGATTATGAGCTAAAAAGGTATGACCAATGGAAAGAAAAAGTGGAGGGAAAGAAGACAGCACTCACACCTGATAAGGTAATTCTTAATTTAATATCAGTATTATTCAACCTCAAACTCAAAATAACTTTATTCATATAGGTAACCAAGTGCATTTATGAACGTCATCAGAAAAGATGTTAAATTGATTCTAAGTTTTCATTTACTACCAGTTCCCAAGTTAAGGGTGTAAAGCTGGCAAAAAGAATGGGCAAGAAACTTTCTGCCATTTCATTTCATACAAATAGCTTGAACTGGAGCAAATCAATCCTAAGGATCATTTAAATAATCGTCAAATTTATAAAAAGCTTTATTGATTAAGTTGCGTTTAAAGATAGTTTTGAATTTATTCAGTGATAATTCTTCAATATCGCTTGGGAGTTTATTGAGAAACAAATACAATTTCCATATAAGGAAATATATTAGTTATAATGGTTAATATATAAAAAAGTCATATCCATAGTTTTTGAAAAGTTACCCAGTCCAGTTACTATCAAAGGATAGCACATGCTCATACATTTTACGTTTTTTCTGTTTAAGAATGAACTACCAAAAAGTCGTATACCAGAACCAAAGAGGCGTCCAAAGTCAGGAACATGGGCAGTTGCTGATGTTAACCTACAAAAGTCTCGGATATTAGTATCAAGCTATCATGAAGATCTTTGTAATGCTACTGATGATGTCTTATCGAAAATTGATGAGGAGCAGTTGAAAAGAAAACTTAAAGCACTGTCAAAGAGACAAGAACAATTACTGCGTGTTGCTTTTTATATGCTTCTCAATATAGCTGATAATGTGAAGGTTGAAGATAAAATGCATAAGAAAGATATTGTTGGCTTACTTATTGGAGCCATGGAACGGCATTCAAATATAGACTTGTTGATTCTGATTGTTTCTTTCTTGCAAAAACTTTCGATTTTTATTGAGAATAAAAATTCAATGGCCAATAGGAGTATTATAGATAAATTAGCCCCACTTTTGGACTCGCCTAATGCCGATCTCGTCAATGTCACATTAAAGCTATTATTTAATTTGACTTTTGATACGAAATTGCGAAATAAAATGATTAAGTTGAACATGTTGCCCAAGTTTATTCAATTTACAAGTAAGTAATAATTCTTATAAGCTAGGAATACAATAATTCTATCAAAGAGAAGTTTATTATTAATTTAATAAAAATATATGTATTTAAAATTTTAGGTGATGATAAACAGATAACATTGGCAATGAAGATATTATACCATCTAAGTATGGATGACCGTGTTAAAGTCATGTTTACTCAATCGGATTGTGTTAAACTGGTATGTATTATTACTATACTATTATAAGTAGGTAATATCTTTATAAATAAGTCTCATATATAATTTTTCTTCCATGCATAAAGTGATGCGCAGATCTCTTATATGCGCTTCGTTAATTTATATCCCCTATTTTTAAAAAAATGGCGATTAAAAAGAGTGGCGGAGAGTTTATTGGCAGTTGTTCTCTTCCGTTCTACGCCCTTGATTTGAGAAATGGCAGTAAATGTAAAATTATATAATGATTAAATATAATACAATGATTAAATGATTTTTTTACTTTTACCTTTTACTTATTATAAAGAACAGAGAGGAAAGAGTAGGAAGGTGATGTGATATTGCCGTCCAAGAAAACTCACTTTAAAAGTCCGTTAAGTAATTTTTATTTAAATTATTAGGCTTTCCATTCCTTAGACTAAGCCTAAGTAATAAAAAAAACTAATTTTGTTGTTGTTTATATTCGATATACGAGTGCAGTTGTCAACAGTTGACAGATATGTTGCTGTTAAACGTCAATAGTGACACAAGCGCCGATGGGCCTAGTAGCACTGACGTTCTATTGGCGCTTTGTGTAAACCTTGCGTGGAACGAGCGCGCCGCTCATCAAATGACCTCCGAGGGAAGATTGCGTGAGCTTCTAGCGAGAGCTTTTAGACATCGAAATGCGATGCTCATGAAACTTGTGAGGAATCTGTCACATCACGCAGTGAATAAGCCTATGTTTGTTGTAAGTCTAACATCATTTGTTTGAGATATTATTTTAAAATAGAGGTGATCAGTCCGCTATGCCATCGTCATACGAGCCAGTGTTAATTCGAACGCATGATCTCGGGATTCTGGGGCGCACTATCAAGCCACTAGGCCAAAACTGCTCGTTATTTAAAAGTTGATTATACGAATAATAGAAAAATAAAATCATTGGCTGGCTTTACTAATAAGTTACATCGTTTTGTTCCACGAGGCAGCATACAGGCAATTACTGCTTATTTTTACCGAAAAGATATTAATTATATACAAATATCTTAACCTACACATCAGATATATCTCATTAGACAATAATACAAAAACAATGTTTCATACAAAACTACAAATAAAATAGTTATAACATATATTTGCGTTTCTATGCAAAACTAAATTCTGTTTGCTGTTCTGTGAATGTATCCAATAACGAAAATCACCCCGCCTTTTTTTATTTTTGTGTCTCACTTTGACTGAAAGAACAACATCAAATCGGGTAAACAACGATATTGAAATGGTAATCAATGTTGGAATACCAGCGCGGATCAGTCTTCACAGCTTTCTGTGTAAACCAAAGATACTTTCATTTGAGGTGCAAACCTAGGAGAACAAACAGCTAACGTACAAACCAATGCACAAACTTCTTTGAAAATAAAAAATAATAACAACATAAATTTTAATGCAAAAAGTAAATATTGGGTGAGGGGGTTGTGTCTCTTCCGAAAACTGGTGTTCTGGAAACAACACACGTAATCACAAAATGAAATTAAGAAAAATATTACAGGAATTCGTAGGCGATGTATCTGGCGCTGTAACAAGTGGTGAGGCGCCTGAAGATTTTGTTATAGAATGTTTGGGCACTCTTAGTAATATTCTTAACCCGAATAATAATATTGATGTGTATGCCGTGGTCGAAAGATATAACTTGATTCCGTACATCATGAAGGTCCTAGATCCAGGTAAACTATTGATTGATTTTTGTTATCTTCTGTATTAACCTCTCTTAGTTCATATAGAAACCGAACCTAGACTATGTACGATGTTAAAACTGCTTATTTGACTGTTATACATAATAAAAAATATATCTAGAACATAGTCTTTTGGTATAATTTTGATGCTAGTCACCTGGGTCTAAACTGTGAATAAGATAAATCTTGCTCATATAGTGCAATTGTTCTTTCACAATTGAATAAAAACAAAGCAACGATATATAAAGAAAAATTAAATTAGTATTTATATGTGTAGGAGAACAATGTGAGGCTGAGATGGTATTGGGCGGTGTCGTACTAGCAGGCGCTGTGTGCGCAGACGAACGGTGCGCGAGTGCTCTCGCTGCGGCAGGAGGAGGTCACGCGCTCGTGACCGCCTTACGACACCGACAGGTATGAAAGTGAGGTCTTTGGGACCTTATTCATATATATTTACAAGTGTTCAGTGATCTACTAAAATATTTAATTTGAACCAGCAGTTTCTTTTAAGTACTTTAATAATTTACTTTTCGTCTCCTATCAAACTGTGTTTACGCTGTGATGGAGAGAGAGAGAGAGTCGAAACTGAAATCGGGAATCTCTGAGAGATATTTCAAGGAAATTAATATACTTACCTTTCCTCGCAATATATTTATGAAAATATGTATGTATATAAAAATAGTGATAGGTAAGCTTACTAGAATAGAACATACGCACAATGTTAATACTCGGATCAAACGCAGGCTGCAATTTCCCCGTACTAGAGTATCTTAAGTTAGTAACTCTTTTTTGGGAAAAGGGATAGTCTTTTTTAATAAAATCCCTGAGGCTCTTTTATCTCTACCTTTTAATAAATTTAAGAAATGTATTAAACAAAAGCTGTGTAAAAAGGCTTACTATAAAGTTAACGATTATCTAGTTGATAAAAGGGCCTGGGACTAGTGCTAGACAGGCTAGTTCTAAATTATTAGCGATATTTGTTTTAAAATAAGTGTTGTTTGATGATTTGCTTTTTTTAAAGAGTACCGAGAGTTTTTTACTCCGGCTTTTTCTCTCGGCCTACACCCTCTGTCTTCTTTGCCGATGAGTAGGGATGCCTACAAATTCAAATTTAATGATGTAGAATAAGTGATACCTGTATCTTATGTTCCATAATAAACATATTTTATTTTATTTATTTAGACAGTTAGGTGTTAAAGTTCTTTAGTTTAGACGCTGCAATTAGGTTTATTTTTTATTAATAATTAATTTAACAGGCGGACGACGAGCACGTCCTTCAAACAGTATTCGCGTTTCGTCAAATGTTGTCTCATCCTCGCGCAGCAGAAACCCTTGTTACTAGCACCGGTAAGTTATAATGCCATCAAAAACTTCTACAAAAAGTTCCCGCAACTTAGTTCTTCTACAGTACAAAGTTGTGAGATCCAGGTATTACAAACTTGGTTAATTGATTCAGTCCCGGCTTAAGGGACCTTTGGTCTTACGTTATTACGCAATTTTGGGAGATTATTGACCCCCCCCCATGTACTGCTCCGTAACGTTTTTCTGTACCCAAGTATAGTAAAGCGTTTCGTGACCACCCAGTGATTCTTTATACCTAAAAGTTACCATTATGTGGTGTAAAGTGCTGGAAAGTCGAAAATAATATTAACAATAACGCGCAATTTAATCCTCGCCCCGCATAGTAACGTCTTAAAAAAGGATCCCCCCCAAAATTCGTTACGTAACTCTTGAACGCTCCCTAACTAAGTAACTAAACTTTGTATATCAATATTATCAATCTTTTATGTTTTAAATATACTGACTTAGCCATGGCATGAAAACACAATGTATCTCGCAAGTAATACATATTATATTAAATTAGATTGTTTAGTGGCTGGTTTACAGGCTTCATATATCATATATATATACCGATATTGGGTCGCTACATATGAAATTTGCGTTTTGTCGTACTGTCCACTTTGACCTCAAATATCTCCTCTTTGGTTAGGATTTCGAAAAGTTTAACAGCTATTTATTTACTCAATTATTTTTCTAAAACCATGATTCATTTAATTTTCCCGTTTTATGACAAATGTATAATGTTTTTCAGAAGCGCCAGCTTACCTAATTGATCTCATGCAAGATAAAAATGTCGAAATACGAAAAATGTGCGATTCCTGCCTCGATATTATATCGCAAATGCAAAATGAATGGGCAGCAAGAATTAAGGTAATATTATCTTTACTTTTATCTTGAAGTATTTTCACATAATATGTATTTACGTATTGCGTCTTTAGTTAATTATTGATTAGCATTGATCAAATGTTGAAGCTTGAGCGTGCGTGCTCTCATTACTGAGGTCGAAGGTTCCAACCCCGGCTATGCACCAATGTACTTCTATGTGCGCACTAACACTCGTTCGTACGGTGAAGGAAAACAACGTGAGGAAACCGGCATGTCGACGGTGTGTGTCAGGCACAGACTCACAAATCACTTGCCTATTATAAAATATGTTCAGAAATCTCAGGTCAAAATCAAAGGTTGTAGCTACACTGGTTTTTTTACTAAATTTATTTAAAACTCTTTTCGCTTCGGAAAGCGCGTAATAATTAACGTGATACTTTATTTGGTACATTTAAATGTCTATAGTACATGCGAATTCATTCTATAGACCTAACCTATTCGATTACAATTGCTGAAAAGCAATCGAATTATCGAGTTGTGTATAGTAATTCGTATATACACAATAGAATCAATACGATATCCTTAAGCATGCTATCGATGTATTAAACGATTACTATTGATGGGCATATCATAAAATGTAGGTTGATTAAAATATCCGTAAACATTGGACGATTTAACGATTTTTTTTTTCAGTAAAATTCACAATAATAACGGTTACAAATGACTTTTTTTATATTATAGTCAGTTTAATATAGAAATGAAACGACTCATTTTTCTTGAAGTTAATATCAATAAAAATATTGTTATATCTTTGCAGGTGGAAAGATTCCGTTGCCACAATGGCCAATGGCTTTCCGTAGTGGAGACGCTGGGAGCAGAGGGTGGGTCAGGAGATGCGGCGGATGAGTTACCGCCCTATCTCTCTGCCGAATATCTAACCACTCATCGCCTTACTACTTCGGGTAATTACCATACTCCGTGTTGTAATTGTTCATGCTTATATTTAGTAAGAAATGAGTTAGTCTACCGTTCATCGGACCTCGAGGCAAACTATGAAATTCCACCCGCTTCACCTCGACGTTCGTCGTTCAACAACTGAGCGTTATTTAAGGCAATCTTTGCCGCATCATCATAATGTGGAACTTAATTTGCCTCCTGTACTATAAAAAAAAAAATGTATATTTGTTTTGTAAACCATGAAACTTAAAGATGTAAACATAAGTACACTCTCTCTACACTTATAATAGAAATTAGTTGATTTCCTTAAAAGTTTTCTGAACTGTTCTTTAGAACGTTTTTTTGCAGGCCAATTTATCAGAGACTTCATTGTCAGCCTCGTCCCCTAACAGTTCTCTATCTATTAGGTCAGCGACTACTTCGTCATGATCAGAACAATGAACAATGTCGGATTTGAAAAAAATACAAAATCCACTTTTTATTATATTTGGATACTACATTGACTAAATATTACGGCTACATTAAAAAAAAAGGGTCCGTGTACTTATGTACGCGCGTAAGAAGTTATACTTCTTTGGCTATATTAAAAATAGTTTGGCTTTGTTCCACCTCCAGTTTTTGATATTTCACAGCGATAAGATGACGACTCTTTTTTTGTATTCAATTTAGTGCAGTTACACTGATTCATCAATTGTTTTTTGTCTCTTTTCCTTATATTTGCTAGATAAAATCAGAAAAATTACATGTTTTGATTAAACAATGTGGTTAATTTTTTAATCAAAACATTACTCGATAATAATAATAATACATACGGATAGTTAACCTCAATTGTATTGAAGCACTTAGGAAGGTTGATGAGCACAGTTTTTTCAAAAATATTAATTAGTATTGGTTTAAATATTCAATTTAAATCACTTCTGATTATAATTCAAAAAGCATCGCTATATTTCTTTGAAAAAATAATTAAAACTCCTTTATTTGTTTAAAAGGTAAATGACAAATGTCATTATGGTCATTCAAAATTGTTGGCATACGAACTTCACGCATATTCTATTTCTTTTTACTTGTAGATTGTCTTATTCCTATCTCGCTCGCGCACGCTATAAACACACTCCTAATTTTGTGTCACGGGTGCGCGCGCATTGTAAAATTTCACTCTCATAAATTTTTCATAACGCGCCTAAAGAAGTATAACTCAAAAAAACCATGTGTTTTAAATTTCAAATTAATGAGTCGGTAAAGTGACGACTTTTTCAATATTTCTAGGGGGCAAACGGGCAGGAGGCTCACCTGATGTTAAGTGATACCGCCGTCCGTGGACACTCTCAATGCTAGAGGGCTCGCGAGTGCGTTGCCGGCCTTTTAAGAATTTGTACGCTCTTTTCTTGAAGGAACGAATTTGAAAAGGAAAGAATTTGATAGAAACATGTGATTTTTCTAGAAAACTGTGTAATTTAATGTTATAATTTTTATTTTGTTTCAAAACAAACCCTTTTGTTTGCTTGTATGCCAATTTTCATAATAACAGAATTAAAATAGTTATGACAAAAACTAACATGATTATATTATTTTGTAATGGCTGCTCTGTAAAGTTTACTATTTGTCAGATCCGTCACTATTCTACGACTATGACGACTTTTATAGGTGAGATTCAGAAACGGAAGAAGTGGGGTTATCACACTCAGGTGCTAAGTTTTGTGTCTAAAACACATTGGATTGATGCGGGAGTCATAGTTCTGAATCTTAACATATGAAATAATGACGCCTTTCTTTCATTCTCCCTAAAAGGCCGGCACGCCTAACCACCCACTAACATGGGCTGCGGGCACTGTCGGTTATGGCAGTTCCGTAGGCTCGGCCTCCCTAAGATATAAAAATAATACATGGAAATAAAAGTCAAGTTCTTAATAAATTTTTTGTTGCAATGTACCATTTTTTATTTTAAATTCGCCATAATTTACTTAAAAAGTAGACTCAATGTGTGGTATTTTAGTAAAAATTAATGACAATATTGGTTTTCGACATTATGTTTTGTTTTAGATTCTCAAGCATCTCTGAACGATGACACTGACAGCTTTTCTGGTGAAGATTATAACAGAGCAAATAGCCGGTAAGATTTTCATATTGTTTTAAACCGTTTTTTTGTTAATTAAAATACCTTTTTAATGGACTTCAAAGCTTTACAATTCGACGTGTAATTTTTTTATGTAAATTTTAAATTCTTCTCTGAAAAAATATATTTGAAGTAATTATAAAATTCAATAAGCTAGGTAATTCAATGGACCGGTAGAAAAATTTCAATAGCTTAAGATTGAAACTGTTACTCAGTTAATTACATATATGAAATTGGCTAATAGGGTTCGATTTTCAATTTGTTCTCCAAAAAATATTTTTAATCAGTTATTTCTTTAATAGTATGAAATAGACAAAATGTTTACCGTATTTTATGTCGTGAAAATATATTTAAGTTAGTAATATGATTTTTTATCTTTTTCTGAATGTTTAGAGATATGCATAAAAGATGACATGTACTCGTACGTATAAATACGAGGTTAACGGTTTTATATAAATTTGTGTGATTTATTGACAGAAATACTCAAGACGGCCATTCTGACGACCTCGGTCTGTGTGATTCGATGTCTGGAAAAACATTGGACGATGACGCGCAGTTTTCGAAGAACACTAATGTTTTTTCTTAAATCGCTTATTTAACGACTTACATAACCCTTCACTTATTAATTATAATGTTAGCAAAACACCAATGAAATAACAAAATGGCCTCTGAGAGCCACTAGTAGTTGTATCTTTGTAATAATAATATATCAATAATTATTAAAAATAAAAAAAAATACCGCTACTGCTATAAAAAATAAAAATAAAAGCTTTGTTATTTTGTTTAGAGTATAAAACATTTATTTCATAAATAATGATGGAAAATAACTTTTCGGAAACTATCAGTTTCGTGAACCATAATTTTTCATAGACGGGTTCCTGATTTTTGTCACCCTTTTCATAGTTAAGTTTTCTTTATCTTTGCATATTTTTTGCATTATAGTAAAATTATTGCCTCACCTGGAAAAGAACTCACCGTCCAGGTGATAGATGATGATCATATTAGTAGAGGTCAGTATTTTTAATATCTGTACTTTTATATTAAGAAATTATAGTATATTCTAATGCCACAGATTATACAATTATACATACAACAAATTCCTGTTTACACTAATTCATTCATAAACATTATGAAATGTATTAAAATTTGCAAAAAATAAAACAAGTGTTTTAACAATTCCTAAATAATTGTGATATTAGTTTTTTTAAGTTTTAATTTCAGTATTTTGTTTACCAAATTGTTATTATTTTAATTGTTATTAACATTACTTGTTACCATCGTAATTGTGTTCAAAATGTAAAAGAAGAAGATTAAACATCCGTATTTATATGTGTCCGTTTTCAGTCAACCTATCAGTATAACGCTGTGCAACTTATATATGTACTAACTACTAATTAATAAAAGTTTAACATGACTATTTGTATTTTTTGATCCCTATAACCGTCATACCAATAAAGAGGAGATATTTGAATTTATTGTTCGTTTATAAATTAACATTAAAAAAAAACTACAGAAATGATTAATAGTTTTACAACGATGTGAGCAAATAACATTGAACTCTTTAACTCTTGCGCTGTACTTAGCCTACCTTGCGATTTATATAGTATAATAGAGGCGAATACAAACATAAGAATTCGCCTTGAATTTTTTAATATGCGCTTTTAGCACACAAGGATTATAAATTCGAATCCTGGGATTACATGAACACACTGAAGTTTATAAGGGCATAAGCTAAGATCGAACGACCTCAGGTTTCTGAGCGCGCTAGGCTAACGCTGCCTTGAAACTGTCTATTCATAGGTCGAATTGTAAATACTTTAAAGAAAATCCGCTGATTTAAATTTTAAAAAGTTCTCACCCACAGGTGATCCACATATGGTTGTGGATTTTTATACAATATCAAATCAAAGTATCTAATATTCATGTAACTGGTAACTTTATGAACACTTAGTCATTCCAGAAATTCAGGAAAAAATATGCTTCTAAATTTACATTTACTGCCAGTTCTCAAATGAAGGGCGTAAAACGAACCAGAAGAACTGGCATTAACTATCCAATACTTTTTAAATTGCCAATGTTTTTTTAGGAACCTGCAACTATTAAACATGTTAAAACAGTTAATTATAGTGATTAACTAAGCCTTAAACTATGAGATTTAAATGCATATACTAGATTTTCTCGCAAAATAAAAACTGGCGCACACAGTTTCTATATATTCTAAAAAAATATATATTAATTTCGGCTATATTTTACATTGTACACAGGTCATATTTCTATACAAATGAAGTCGTAGATAACTGTTATAAAAGTAAATTTAAAACAAAATTGTGCCACGCAGTTTAATTTTCTTAAGAACTGAATATATGCAAAATAACGTTTAAAAGCCCAAGTAATGTGTTATAACGTTACAATTATTCTAGTACAATCTTATCTCAACACAATTAAGTGCTACATAACTCTTCAGGCTTACACGTCTATTTAAGAATTCCATAAAACGCATATTATTGTCGTTGAGGGTATACTAATATTGAGAGGTTAGAAGATACCTCCGAAAATACCTCAAGATACGACAAAACTATACTTATTTTCCCAAATGAATTCTAATACGTTAGCCTATATCATAGTTTTTAAGTTTTAAAGACTAAACATATTGTGATTATTAATAGCGTTTTAATATATAAAATGTATGTCCAGCAGACATTAGAAAGAGTACGTCAGGACAAAACAAGAAATAATATTGTTGGTTAATTTCCCCGCTGATTGATTAATGACCATATATCTGCATGTCAATTTTATGCAACAACCTTACGCATAATTGCTGGAATTGTTCTCAAACGCTTTAGGATGTGTAATCGTGTTCTGTCATAGAAAATAATTTAAGTATATTGTAACACAATTCTTTATAGAAACAACAAAAATTTGAAAATTTAAAGAAATTGTCTTGCAGTACCTTGCTTCATATTGTAAACTAAGATGTGCCCTCAGGTTTCATCCACGGTAATGAAGTCGAAATATTATGTATAGTCTAAAGCGGTAGGCTTTAGACTGAATGAATATTGTCTATACATTAAAGATCTTTCAAATGTTAGCATTCCAAAGTCGAATGTATGTTATATTGGTAACAAAATGTGACCATATTATGTGTGTATGTATTAAGAGTTAATTTTAAAAAGGTCACCTTCACTTCTAACATAATCAAGGTCATAAACAATTGTAGGTGAATGTGGTAAATAAATCATGTCGGTTAATTTTATTTTATATATATTTATTTATAAAATTGTAACAACTTAAATTATGTTAATGAAACATACATAAGTTTGTCTTTGTAGCAGAGTGACATTAATTCCACCTTTCTCAAACATCGGCACTAAGATTTCATATAAATAGGCGAAAAATTAATTGAAAACAATAATTAATCAGGTCAGTGCCGTTCGCCACCAAGTCACTATACATTGTATTCAATAAAATTACTGAGTATTATTTACATCTGTACAGTCTTTTTTTAACTTAAGAGATCACTTCTTCACGTTGAAACCCTCTCCTGTGGGATCTAAAATCCATGGGTAGTTATTGGGACACTCCATACATGTAAACAAACGAAGGGTCTCTCCTGGTAACTCTCGTGTTGTCAAGGGGCATGCGTTTGGTAAGGAACAGAAGGGTTGTCCCTTGACGTCGCATTTGTCATTTTTCCATTCTTGGAAGTCTCGGAGTGAAGACACTTCAGTGGGGTTTTGCATCCATTGGATAACTTGAATTTGTGATGTGAAATAAACATCGCTCTTTGTAAGCATTTCTTCGATGAACTTGATGAGCTCATCTCTGAATTCTTTCTTGGATTTAAGCCATGAGGCGTGGAAGTGAAGACCAAGTGGGGCACGGTTGGTACTGTAGTGACGGTTGAAGTTGTGACGCAGAAGGCGGGCGAATTGGTCACCGGTTTGAATGTTGGAACAAGAATCGACAACGTGACAACCTGGAAGGGACTCATCAAATGTAGGGTCATCACGTCGGTCCAACTCGTTCACTACCATTTCCCATACAGGGTGGCTTCTTGACGGACAGTTGTGAGCGTTACCGTTACATTTGTGTGGCATACGGAAGTACAAAGTGTAGGGCCAAATTGGAACTCGGCCAAGAGGGGCAGTTATGGAAGCATCATAGACGAAATATTGGTCAGCCATCATTTCGAATTGCTTGTTACCACCTACACGCAAGTATGGAGCTCGGACTCCGATGATGGAAGCGTCCGTTATGTTGGCGAACCTCTCAACGATAAGACGGGCACCGGCCATCTCAGCCAACCAGTCATCGTAGGTACCACTGGACCAGTATTGTGGGTCATCTTTGTGTGTGAGGGAGAATACAGCGATTTCATGTCCCTTACGATGTAACTCTTGTATAGCGGCGTAGTTACTATATTTGTGTGAGACGAAGAATGTTCCCCGAACCTGGCAACCATTAGGGTTTAGTCTGTTTCCGTTGAAGATTTGCTCATACAGATCGATGTTGTCTACGTTAACAGCTCCATTGAAGGTGATCGTGATCATCTGAGGAACCTGGTTGACTTCAAGACCCCCAGGAATGCGAGTGCCATCAGCGGAACAGAAGCAGTCAGGAAGAACACATTGGTTAGGATCACAGTCAGGTGCTCTGTTCGGATCTAAATCGACGGCTGGAAAGTTAGATATTATTATGATTTGATTCATTATTTATGTTTCATAGTCACTTATATTAAAATAATAAAAGCTTATTATCATACGCAATAAAAGTAGGTATAAATAATTTGTAAACAAAATACTCACTGCAAGCATTCTCGTCTGATTCGTCCTTGCAATCAAATTTTCCGTTACAAAACAGCTCCTTTTCAATACAATCCCCACTGCCACAGGCCAACTTGCCTTCGGAGCAGATAGGTTCATCTGTCTTCAAAAGTGGCAGCACTTTTCTTGGCTCTGTAAGTAAGTTAATATGTTAAATTTGTTTAATGATTGTTTTGATGGACGTAGGTCGAATGGGACTGGTTTGCGTTTGTGTTGGTAGTCTGCTAGTGACGTCAGTCAGCTAGTAAGTCGAAGTCTCAGGGATGAAGCGTGAATTATGAGAAGTTACTTAAGAAAGAATAAAAACGAAAGACTCATTAATAATTTTGATTGTAAAGAAGAGAAGTAAGATTTTATGAGTTTACACGATTAGTCACTTTACAGGCGCTGATACGATAGAAAATATAGAATAGAGAGGAAATTAAAATGGATACGTTATTCAAACCTCAATGTGTTGTATTAATGAAAGACTGTATGGAAAATGAATTAGACATCACAATAAACCGTTTCAAAAAACTTAAAGAAAAGTTTAGGTATCTTAATTTATAATATATTTGACGTATGGTAAAATAGATACGAGAAGGCTTAAAAATTTTGAGTAAATTAAATATTTACATAAACCAAACACCATCCAAAAATAAGAATCTCAGCCTTCAAAGCGTGTTTATTACATGATTAGTATTCTTTTGGAAGCGATAAGTGTATGATACATTAAAAGTGATTTGCGTTTGCGTTTGCGGGTGCAGTTATTTTTAGTAAAAGTCCAAAAGAGTATTAGTTGAGTGTATCGTTTGAAGCAAAAGCATGGAAAGAAATTGTGATTAATAGAAATGAGTGAACATTTGTGAAACACAACGTCTTTTGAACCATACGGTGCTTTTCTCTCAATTTGTAGATGTGAACATATTTTTATTTCTTTTGTATTCAATAGAATATAAAAAAATAATAAAAATTCAGTCAGCAGGATTAGTGTATAAGTATGCAAACAATTGTTTCCATTGTGTAGTTAAGGGCGGTCCAATTTAGGGCCTTTCCCTTTGTCCGGGGCCTCATGCAAAACAAATCTACGAGTATTGTGCGACGCGGCCCCTTCACCCAAGCGTATAATGTCGCCACTTACTCTCAAGTTTGTCACAGTTGGTCACTTTACCCTTCCAGTCGCAGGTCTGTTTATCAAGATCAAAAGACAGTCCGGAGGGGCAAGTGATCTGTTTAAGACCTGACCTAGTGCACCTGTATTCATAAGAAATAAAGTTATTTAAAGTAAGGAGGATGCGGAAGCGGACGCACAAAAGGCTAACCGGTGTTAACATTCCTCTTGAGGAGAGACGGAAGTTAGCCCTTCGCTCGCACACTTCCCGCATTTAATTGAACTTACTTTCTAGTTTATCGCAATTCTTAACATTGGTTTTCCAGTCACATGTTTGACGGTCGATATCAAAGCCTAGACCTCCAGGACACTTGACGGACGCTAGTCTGGTCACTCCATTCTCAGCACCCTTGTCGCACCTGTACACAGCCTTATTTTCAGCATTTTTTAAAATTAGAGCGCTTAGTATTTGTCGCCACGATAGTTGCAAAGTTTCTTAGTTACACTCATAACAAGGAAGTGTATAAGAAACACCTTTATACATTCACACCCAATGACTTCCTCTTCGATGAACCAACCTGAATAAAAAATCTGTGCAATATGAAAACCTTATTCTTCTATTGTGAAAAAATAACCTTGCGAATTAAAGTACAAAAACTTTAACTCTATACTGCACCTTCTCCAACCAGTTCCGATGTTTTTCCGACTGAAACCTTGTAATAGATAGTTGCCTTTTATAATTTTGACTGTAGACAGCGAGAATACCTATTATATAGATTATGAGAATAATATTCAAGACACGTTGACCGCTCCGTTCACTGGACTATCAGGTTCTCGAGTAGAATATCTAATGACGCATATAAATCAACAATTTGAATTGGCCTTGCATGCACAAAATATTATGATTTTGTTCGACGAGATATAAAAAAAGCTCTAAATTACCTGACAACATCACGGCAGTCTCCTTCTGTGCTAAGGCGGAAGTATTCGTCTGGAGGCCGTCCATCACAGAGCTGTTCAGGGTTCACCTCGTCACCACCATCGTCATCCTGACGTTTGACTCTCGACTCACCTAACACTACATCAAAAATAATAAGTTCATTTCAATCACTTTAAAGGTATATTAATATGATAAATGTTGCCGTTCGAAATACCTTCAACAATACCACGTATTTTTTGTTACCCCATACGAAAACCCTTGCATAGGTTTCACATTCTTCCGGTGCTTATTATATTGGTACTACGAAACCGCTAGTTATATACGTTGCAATCGTATACAATTATATTGGAGCGTGTGACTTTCGTTTAATAACGTTGAGCCAATTTTTATGTATTCTTTGGCAATATGTTGAACATTATCCAAGAAAGAAATTGTTGAGTAACACCAACGTAAGACGATTACCACACATGAGTGGGAATGTAGTACCGTTTCAATTTAGTGTGGAGTGCCGTAGCTCGTATGAATCATAAGCTCTAGTCGGCAACATTTTCAAGTTGTTTCTTACTGACACGAAATTAAATTACAAAAGCAAATTCGTAATATGTCTTTATGCTTATTCCAGAATGAGTTGCGTATTCCGAAAGCTAACCGATGACGGCATTGAAAGGCAAAATGTTAAAAAGAAATCGAGGTCAACGCTGGCCACGTAGAAAACCGGTATCTTATTCGCTATTTGGCTACCTTTGAGTACCAACGTGTATGAAATATATACAAATAAAATAATATTTAAAATAAATACAAATCAATAGATATGTAATTGGAAAAAGCCTGAAGTATTTATTCACTATTTTAATTTTAAAATATTACTATTTTATTTAAAATATTATTTTATTAAGTCCAATATTTAAATGAACTGTATTAAAAGATTTATAAAAAATAATTTTAGAAATAATATTGTACTTACCGGAGTAGGCAAGTAATAATACGCCAAGGTACAGGTACGCGCGGCGAGCCATAGTGCTCGACAGTGACTGTCCGTTGCGTCGCGCTCCGCAAGAAAGTGCAAGAGGTGCCAGCTGCCCCTCTTCACCTTTATATAACCAGGCCCTGTGCTGTCGATACCAGCCGACAAACTCCACCCGTCCTCTACGCACTCTGACTCCTCACAGTATACATTTCCATTCCGCAGACGAAGCTTTTAATAAGCAGACGATGACATTATTAGACGTTTACCATTACATTATTTAATTGACTAGTAATGATTTATCTATAATTTTAAATAAAACTATTACAAATTGTACTTAGTAAATGCATTTAATTAGCGATTTACAAAAATCGTGTACCCGTAATTAACGTCACTTTTAACTGCAATTATATAAATACTTAACGTTCTACCTACAACTACCTTCGTAAATTGCCTTTCAGTAAAAATAATATTTTTCCGCCTAATTTATCTATGATTTCTATTCTATAATTAGAATAAAAAGTAAAAAAACGGTTTAAACGAAAACTCTCGGTTGAATTTTTCAGTTAAAAATATAATTAAATTAATCATTGAGTTTATCAAACATTATGTTAAATGAAAAATAAACTGATTCTCTCGTTTTTATTCTTTATACTAAAAGCTTTAATGAAATTTTGTAAACTGAAAAAAATATTTAAAAAAACATTAATGTGTGATCAGTTATTGATTACTGTATAATAACTTAGATCTCAATTAAAAATGTACTACGATTTTACGTACGAAGAAAATATAAATTGTAAATACCCACTAGGAATTTGAAGTTAAAATTATGTTAATTTTCCATTTTGTGAAGAAATTGTTTAACAACTATTACACAACGATATGCAATATTCTAACACTGATATTTAAAGATTTCCTAAGAGCCTCTTATGCATTTTTTTAAATTTATAAAGCCGATAAAAGCCACTTTCGATTATCAACCGAACCAGTTTCATTAAATTTATGTCAATGTCACGTAAAGGTCGAGAGGATCTTCGATTTCCATTATTATAACTATTTTCAATTTATTATTTACGGCCAAAAATCTTCGTTTTCGGTAAGTTCAAAGATATATTGGTATACTAACGAAATAAATTCCTAAAACCCTTAACCCTCTTTTGTGTTAATACAATCGCATTAACAGAAATTCTGAAAAAGAATTTTAAATAATTAAAGGAAGACAAAACAATAAAAAAAATATTTATTGTTTTGTCTTCCTTTTTTTCATTCCACCTAATGTTGCCATTATGTTGTGATGTTCTATGCTTTGTCCTGTAAAAACTAAATATTCCATTTGTGGGGAGATATCTAGATAGAATTCGGTGGGTTGTGTCCTAAGGTTTTCTGGATGTTGCTGCTTGTACTATTGTTTGGTTATAAAATAAATCGTTAATGCACCATTGGTATTACTATAAAATTGTAAGTATTGTTGATATATATTTTGTCTAACGTCGATATGATTGCAAATAACCGCAATCGACTATAATCTTTATCCTTCATTATTGTGGTTAAGTCTGTAATGAGTTTTATTATATAACATTGAAGGGATAAATATTTCTTTCCCCTTAAGGAAATTTAGATGAAAAATTACTGACATAATAGAGGTGTAAAGAAACTGAAAGGATTTTGTCCGATCAAAATATGTTAGCGAGATATGTGGCCTTGCGGCAATATCCGGGTGGATCAAGTTATGTAAGTCACGAGTACTGGCTGTGACAGTGTGGCGAGGAGGGGCTACTGTCGATTCGACCCAACTTCTGACCCTTTCGTGATCTTAAGATCTAAATGCGTAAATATTAGAAGCGGGTAACATAATATTTTTAATGCATTATTGATGATATTTTAAGCTAAATAACTATCTTTTGTTTTCGTACATTACTGCATTAACATTACCTTAGTAGCTTTTTTCATTGGCTTTTTAACTTTATTGAATTAATATTTGTGTTATGTTCGTAAATATTATAATAACAACAATATTTAATACATCAAAATTTGCATTGAAATCAGTTTTTTTCCTGTAAACATGAATGACATTTATAAATGTGTTTTCGGAGATGTTTTAAATATTTCATAATATTTATGATAATATTAATATTATGATTTTTTATTAGCTAAGATCTTTCTTGTTTTATGTATTTATATATTGCCTATTTTTAACATGAATTAAACGATCACCACCACAATGATGTTCCTAATTACAATATGAAAATAGCCGCGTGTCTAGATGGGCACTTAACATGAATATGTTAAAACAACTATTTATATATGGAAATTCTCAGAAAGTTGTTAACTGGATATTTCGGTAATGCATTCTGCATATGCACTCTGAATAGAAATGTTGTAACTTTTGAATTGTAATGACTTGTCAAGATTATTCGTTAGCATTTTAAAATGTGTATTAATGAGTATTGAAGAGCACTCGTCTTCTATTTTATTCTCGATTATTAGATTAACGGGTTATTTTAATTTGTGACTCTAAATAGATTCTTACTCATTACAATAAAACAAAAGAGCTTAGTGTATATATCTTTTTTTATAATATATTTATTTTATTGTATTATAAAAATAGTCTGTATGTGCTACTGAGACACAAAACATCGACCAACTAAATAAAAAAATAATTTATGATTTAAATAAATTACGATTGATACAAAAGATATCAACGCGTTATTTTTCTTATTAGTATTATAACTGTATATAAATGGTAATATTACTAAACTTTTTATAAACCTTATATCGTAATACTGTTAAACAGACTTTATTAACATATATAAGTAGGTAGCAAAACGTTAAATGGCGCTTTGTAATAAAATATGTATAATAAAATAATAAATAATAAGTCTCCTAGTCGGCCAATAAAGGTCAAGGTTAATTTCGTGTGATTAATTAATTCTGAACTATTTATATATTTGATTAAAGTTATAATTATGAAGTTTAAGAGGTTATACATCATTATCGAAGTGCTTGTGAACTCAGAAAAACATTTCACTAATGTAAAATACTCGTAATAGACGCAGAGCAATTTGTTCCCATGCATGCATTTTAATAAACAATAATGATTAAAACGGAAATATTCGTATTTGATCTCATTGAGCGCACTTAGTTTATAAATGAAATAGTCCGCAAGGCAAGGCAGTAAGCCTATTTTAAGTAATGGAATTTTTTATGGGTGTAGGGGTGTACATACATAAATTATTTGACGATGTGTATTTATTTTTATTAATCTTACTTTTCACGGCACATACATACACTACATTATTTGCATAAATATCATAAAACCTATGTCTTTTTGTGTCTACAGTAACATGTAGGCCAAGTATCCAGGTCATATAGACCTATGCATGTAATAACTGCATAAAAAGTAGCAACCGATAGTTTAAATGTTAAATCTTCGAATATCTTACGCAACAAAATAGCACATCGCGTGAAAGTGTAAACTATTAGGTCACGAAAAAAAATCGCAGAGGAAAGGTTAAATTTAAAATGAAACTTATAGGAAATTAAATTTATGTGTGTAAGGCAATAGAATGTTGATAGATCAGGAATTGCGTCTACGACCCGGAAGAGTAGATCTTTAAGATATATGCAAATTTACTGACGGAAGTGAATTTTTTATAATAGTTGGACAGTTTAACTGACCTCTGAAATATGCACCAACCTTACCAAGAAAATTTAAGTGCAATTAAAATATGATTCTTAATTAATTTTCATGAGATTTCAAAAATGTTTTCGGTTATCCTGACTGATTTTTTTTATAGAACGGGCCGGAGGCTCACCTGATGTTCAGTGATACCGCCGCCCATGGACACTCTCAATGCTAGAGGGCTCGCGAGTGCATCGCCGGCCTTTTAAGAATTGGTACGCTGTTTTCTTGAACTACCCTAAGTCGAATTGGTTCGGAAATACTTTAATGTAATAATTTTATCAGTTTCCGTAAAACATATTACTCCCGTTAAACCAGATACGTACGATACGATACGAAAATTTTATTACTTTTTATATCTTTTGAACAATTTTAATAATATACGGAAAGCTAGAAATATATTTTGTTACAAACTGCTTATTAATTCTCATACAGCAAGGTTTTAAATGAATCATACTAACAAGGATCACGAAATCCTTGAGCACAAAAGATATATTTTTGTTGTGAGCATAAGCAAACATAATACGGTGTAATTAAGATGCGCAGTATGTAAGCATCAAAGTGCGACGACGTCTCAACACGGCGAGTAGGCGCGCAAGAGTCAAGGATCCTTCAAGATATTTCCTTTCACTTGCGACAATGCCTGCATACCTACGTCTATCTTACTGTCGGTATAGCTTAGCATGTACCTTAGGTAATTCCAACTTCCAAGTGGTATTATTAATTTAATGAGGCTAACTGCTATCTAATGTGTTTGCTTACTTGCTGAACAATTAATAATACGGATTTGTTTTTAGAAAACTCAGGAACAGGAACTTTAAAACATTCGATATAAATCAATACAATAACTAATTTTCAATATCGTGCTTATTTATACGTTTATAATTTTTAAAAAATCTTAAATATATATACATAAATTATTCTTAAGCGGTAATTTATTTATTAAATAAAGAGGGTTAGAACATTAAAATTTAAAAACATTCATATTTAATCTATATATATAAAAACTAAGACAGTTTCTACGAAATGTTAAGAAGGTTTTACAGTTTTCGTATAAAGCTTACTTAATTTTTCTTCGAAGTCCACCTTTCCAGTAAGGAAAATATTCATATTAATAATTGACCTTACTTATTACTACGCTATCGAACAGTTTGTTATTTCAATATCATTATATTTTAACCATAATGAAGGAGATGTTTAAAAATTGATTTCCCTTTATGGCATAAATAATGTCTGAACGTATGATACTTTTTTATGTCTGCTGTTGGGTACTTATAATAAAATAAATTAAAATAGAAGTCTTTACAATTTATTCGTAATATTATTTATTTACGATTTACGTAAACCGCTATATATATTGCCAACTTGGT